GGCCTGTTCAGATGCGGATCTGACCAGGGTCAAGCGTGCGTTGAGGAATCCTCGACACGTCGGGGGGGGGGGGTCGTATTGGCCCGCTGGGTGGAAGAGATCGAGCCATTTTGATGCAGTGGGATCATCACCGTCGGAAGACAAATATCAAGGATGAGTCGATGCCAGGCCAGAGGATTTCCAATGAAAATGATATTTCACCCACACAAAAGTTCATTCGTTGACCTTCTGAGGCGAATTTCGTATTCTTAGTTCTTCAGTGTTTATTCCACCACTACAAATTAGAAGCGAATTTCGCACGCTTTCCAAGAGATATTTCATCTTTCAAGTAAGACCCCGAATCGGAAGGGATGTGAGGTACACGGCGCATCCGAGAAAGGGTCTAGTTGTTGCGCGCGCTTCAACTACGGCTCCTTGGACAAACAACCTCAATTCAGGAACAATCGAGAGAATTCTGAAAGTGTCCGTGCATTTACAGGGAGGTGTACACCATTCAACATTGCGTTAACGGACTCTTCAGGGTTAAATTTATAAACATGTAACCTTTAAAGTTGAGAAACGCTAATCAATCACTTTTCTTAGAAAGAGAAAAGCAGTGATTTCCAAATCTGCTCTTACTTTAGTACATAATCGCCCTTAAAAGGATATACAGCCGTTGAAATAGTGCCAATGTAGCGAAAAAGTACCTTTCGGCGGTACTCGTGCGAAAATCCTCAACGTAGCCGTTTTTTTAATACTGGACGTTTGGAGCAGTTCTAGTAAGCATTTCACGATCTAGAGCAATCCTCTCTAGTTATCGAACGCCGGCGTATTTGCTTCCGGATTGGATGAGTTTGAACGGAGTTATGGCTTTAGGAAGTAAAAAAACTCGCACTCATCACAAATTTTCCTCGTTAATTTTGCGAAAATCCTCAACGTGGCCATTTTTGAATACTGGACGTATGAAGCTGCTTTAGCAACCGTTTGATAGAGAAAATCTTCTAGTTTTGTATGACGTATCAACTTTTTGAATTTGACGGAAATGAAGCAAGTTATTGCTCCGGAAAGTGTAAAAACTCGTGCTCGTCTCAGCAGCTCGTCTCGAATTTTCCTCGTTATTTGATCTAAATTTGTTATTTCTTATAACTTCCTGTAATTTCAGTACTGATTAGAAAAAGCTCTTCACAAAACTTCCAAATCTTTCAGATTGAAAATTCGTCATATTTGAAGAAAGTTATAATCATTTGAATATTTGTTCAAATTTCAATAGTAAATAAGCTGCTCCACGGTCAACGCCAAAGTCCAGTCAACACACAGCTGGCGAAGGCGGTTAAAAAGCTTCTTTCAACTGAAGGGCTACGTGCAAATTGAGAACCACAATCTGTGTAGTACTAGAATTTGGTAAGTCTTGTGGAGGAAATAAATAAAGAAGATGTTGTCATAGTATGCCATTTTTAGTGACTAGTTTGTCGTTTTCTGGTCTGTTTCTCGTTTGCTCGTTTGACAGGACTCATCATAATGATTCATTCTTTGACTTTTTCACTTTTACTTCTAACATCTCTTCTTGTCGCGTGCGTAGCAAGGCCTTTTTTATTCCCGTTGGCGGAGAATAAACACTCTTCAACATTTCATACTTCCTGCTGAAAGACGGTTGTCTTCATTCATGG